AGGCCTGGTTTCACGAGAATTCTTCTAAATTGGGGTTTGGACTTTGTGGACTTGACAGGAAGGTTCAAACAGCAATCTAGAAAGGGAAAAAAAGGCTGATTGATTGCTCACATATATCATACTAAGCCATTATTTGTATAACCATGGTTTATTGAATAAATCACAATCATCTGAACTTAAAGCCAACACATATTTGGCTTTAAGCCATAGTTTATAAACTACAGTGGTTGGGATCAAAGCACAGAGTTGAAACAGAACATTTAGATGACTGAATCCAACCCTTGCTCAGTGCATGAATCCAAATTAAAGTATTCCTAATGGATCACTATTAAGCCCTCCCTGAAAATATCCAGCAAAGAGTTGGTCTCCACATAATGGATAACTGGTTCCACTGTCAAACTGCTTTTACCATTAGGAAGATTTTTTTCTAATCAGAATTTGCTTTTCTATAATATAAATCCATTATTTTGTGCTGTGGTCAGGAAAGACACATGCTGGAGTACTTGACAAGTGCAATTCAAAATCTTAATTGCAGGGCAATAGTATTTCTCCATCTCCTGTTTGTGAGCACCCAGAGAAACTGTGAGAAACAAAATATTGGATTAAAATGGGCTGATCTTATGACACAGATGACTTAGGCATTACTTCTGTCATTCAGTTAGTAAATTCATCCTTATCTCCCAGCAGCACATGATTGGGGATGGCTGTGTCTGTGTCTGTTGGTGGCCATCTTTTTCATTCTCCCAGCCCCTGCAAAAGAGACTTGCAGACTGTCAGTTCTTATCTTACTTCCTTTTCCTCTTGTATCTGAGCTAGAGAAAAGAAAATTAAAGGGAAAAAAGCCTACTGTGTGCATTTGATATCCACACACATGCAGACAGACACAGAGGACTCATACCCACCTCTTAACCTATTTCTGCAAAGTACCAAGTGAGGCTTCATCTTAATCTTGAAAGGAGGAGGAGTTGGCTAGCCTCACAGTGAGCAGTATCCATTGCATGGCTGGCTAGGGAATAAGAGAAATTAGATTAACCTTAGATGGGCCTTAAACAAAGCTAAATTTAAAACCATGGGAGATAGCTGATCAGGTCAATTAATACCTTTTTGGAGTTCCCATAACACACCACCACCCATTACATTATCCCCCCCATTACATTACAATGCTGTGGCAACAGGGCTGATAAGTTTCAAATTTAGGCAGGATTAATTTTAACCATGCCCTTATTTTGCTTTCTGCTTCCCATCTCTACTAGTTGGGTTATTGGGAATTGGTCTGAATGCAGCCGCAGCTGCAATCAGGGAGTGCGGACCCGAAGTGTGATCTGTCAGCGCAAAATCTCCACCACAGAGGAGAAAACTCTGGATGATTCCTCTTGCAACTTGCCACGGCCTCATGTGTTGGAACCCTGTAATAATCACTCATGTCCTCCAGAATGGGTAGCCCTTGACTGGTCTGAGGTAATGACTTTCTCTTTCTCAATCTGGCACCCTCCACTTTCATTCTGTCATTCATTCATTCATTCATTCATTCATTCATTCATTCATTCATCAGCCGGTGGTTCGGTCAGTCAGTCAATCAATTTATTATCTGCCTTTCTGCTCAATAGGCAGCTAACAAAAGTAAAAAGTACAATATAATAGAGAAAAACTGAATATGACTAATACTAAATGAAGTAACAAAAGCCTGGCAAAATTGACGTATCTTCACAAATGTTCGATAGGCAGCAAGTGTAGGGAATTAAATGCATTTCCTGAGAGAGTGTTACCAAGTCTGGGAGCAGTGCAGAATCCCCTCTCTTGGGTGCCAGAAAGATGGTTCTTTGACATCTTCAGAAAAGCCCCTCCTGCAGATCTTAACAGTTGGACGAGTTCATGACAGGAGAAGCTGTCTCTCAGATAGCCAGATCAGTCCTAAGCAGTTTAGGACTTTAAAGGTCAATGTTGTCACCTTAAATTGTGCCCCGTAATTGACAACCAGGGCAGACTTCCAGTACCAGGCATTCTAATATATCTATGCCTTGTAGTGGCTAACAGTCTAGTTTGTGCAATTACAGCTCCTGGGAATGTTTCAAGGGCAGTCCTATCCAGCACATTGCAACAGTTAAGATGAGAAGAAGCCAGGCTACTGAGATCCGATCATTTCAGGAATGGCTTGTAGCTAGTACACTAATTATTTGTGCAAAAGTGCTACATACCATGGTTAACATCCATAACTCCGTGATAGCTAAGGAGCTTGGGACTGAAGTAAATGATGTATATAAGATAGTGGACCAAGACTGTGTTGACCCATGTTCAAGTCCATCCTCAACCACAGAAGCTCTTTGAATGACTTTGGGGCATCCACTCTCTCTCCCAACCCAAATTACCTCACAGGGTTGTCGCGAAGAAACATTGGGAAGGGAGAACATTGCACATTACTCTGAGATCTTGGAAGAAAGACAAAATATAAATCTAATGAATAAATAATAAATAACTTCTAGAATGCCTCTGGGATGTCCTCAAGTGCCATATGTACTAGATGTTAGGTTCATGACTACCTCTGTTTGTTTTATCAAGTAATTTTGCTGGCTCCAATGGGAAACAAAAATGTGTTAGATTCCACTTTCTGCCAAACTCACTGCAAAGTCACAAACATCCACACCCAAGATGATTTAACGGATTTATTTTTCATCGCCCCAGAGGTTTTAGGGGCATATAAAACAGCCTGGGAAATGTAATAAATCATAACAAATACATAAACTCCAGCCTTTTCCTTCCTTTCAGTGTACTCCAAGTTGTGGACCTGGTTTCCGCCATCGCATTGTCCTTTGCAAAAGTGGTGATCACAGTTCCACACTGCCTACCTCCCAGTGTCCCGAGAGCTCCAAACCCCCAACCACCATAAGGTGCAGTCTTCGGCGCTGTCCACCCCCACGGTGGGTCACTGGCGAGTGGGGAGAGGTACAGAAAGTTTATTTTTCTCCTACAGTTTTAAAGCACTAGCCAGTCATTGTTCAAGGGGCACTGCATTGCACTGCACGTTGGGGACACTGCACCCAAGGTAAAAAGCCAATGACATGAAGCTATCTTAAGCTGATCTGCCCTACGGATTTGCTTTAATCTAAGATGAAATACTTTGAGGCCCATCTTTTTAAAAGTACCTGACGAACAGTCATATTTTCAGGGATACAGGTCAAAGCAAGTTCACAAAATCATTCTTTTATATATTCAGAGACTGACAATGTTTGGACCAAGTGTCAGGCCCAGCCTAAGAACAACGGTGAAACAGTCCAGTTGAGTTAAGTTCCTTTATTTGCTTACA